ACGTGCGTGTGAGCCACGAGCATACTCGTTTGTATTTTCATTTTTATTTTTTTCATACTCAAGTTTTTAAATGCCTTAGATTTAGATTGTTTGTGACTTCTATTTCCTCATCTTCTGTAAGTCATTTGTGCCTCCTTTTTATGGTCTCTACCCTTGTTATCAGCATAGTTTCACATAACAAAAACCCACGTAGGTTTTTGTCTGTTTGGCTCTCTGTTGAGACTTCCGCAGAGTTTTCCTGCTCTCAATTAGCCACACCCAGAATGGGACATCTATGTGACACATGACAAGTGCTGCTTAACAGTTTGGAAACATGCTCAGGAAAGACAGTCACAAGCATGGAAGGCTAATTTATGCAGGTGTCTTTCAGAATATGTTTAATGAATGCTGATAATTGTAGTTTGATTCTGATGTCTCTTTACTCATTTGTTTTCCATCTCTCCCACAAACTTGAAAGCTCCGTGGGGGTGGGAGTGCATCTGGCTTGCTCATCACTGCACTCCCAGCTCCAAGCCCATGGCATTCAAGTAAATGTTGAGTAGATGGACTTCACTTTTGGCAAATGAGGAAAATAGAAGTAATTATATTTATTGCAGATGTTTTGGGTGTTCTAATGTATGAACTGACCGACATGTTTATAATATTTAATATTTAAAAGAAAAATACTTTTAAGCACTTTGCATCTGTATCATCTCTGGTTTAATTTTTTTCCCCTCAGTTTCTTCTCAGCAGTATATATCTCATCGAGATAAATACCTCTGTAAGAATATAAGTTAGGGCACCTGGGTGGCTCAGTTGTTTGAGCGACTGCCTTCGGCTCAGGTCATGATCCTGGAATCTCGGGATCGAGTCCCACATCGGGCTCCCTGCTCAGCAGGGAGTCTGCTTCTCCCTCTGACCCTCTTCCCTCTCGTGCTCTCTATCTCTCATTCTCTCTCTCTCAAATAAATAAATAAAATCTTTAAAAAAAAAAAGAATATAGGTTACTATTAGTTTAATCTCTGTCATTCCACTTGTCTTTCTGTGAAACCTAAAGGTAAAGGACTTTTAAAAACTTGCATATGCCCTACTTAAAAGTGGGTCAAGTGAAGCTCAGAATTACATCATTGGGGCCCCTGGGTGGCTCAGTCAGTTAAGCGTCCGACTTGGTTTTGGCTCAGTGTTTGATCTCAGGGTCATGGGATCGGCCTGCATGGGGCTCTGAGCTCAGGGCAGAGTCTGCATGTCTCCCCCCAACCCCCCACATGCTCACAGTCTCTCAAATAAATAAATGGGATCTTTGAAAAACAGATTTTTTAAATTACATCATTAATTATACTCAATTATTTTTAAATACTCTTAATTCCAACCTTCTAACATGATTCCTGGTTATGCTGACTAGCCCCATCGTTTGACTAGCAATTTATTTATTTACTTACTTACTTATTTATTTAGTGAAGGTAGGGGGTTTGATGCGGGGTTTGAACTCAAGACCCTGAGATCAAGAGTCGTGTGCTCTACTAACTGAGCCAGTCATGCATCCTTGGCTAGCAAATTTTTAATATTGAAGTTCAAAGTCTTAGATTTGGAGGGCTGCATTTGGCCTGTAGATAGATATCCTGTTGAAATCTCGGAGTTGTAAGATTCCGAAACAGTTTTTGGATCAAAGTTAATTTAAATTTAATTTTAAAAGTATGCCATTGTGCCCTTTTTTTTTAGTGGAGACAAAGTAAGTTTAGGATATCCTGACCTGGCTCCCGAATGATTTTGAACAGTAATATTTGTATGATAGTTTTATGGTGGCTGTAATTTCTACAATTTCTTGTGCTAAAGGTTATGGCTGTCAAGACCTAAAAAGCATCCTTTTTTTCTTTTTGTAATTTATGGTAAACATATTTTCTCAGGTTTAACGCATAGCCCTAGAGAACCAGAAACCCAAAGAAACCGCTATTTCCTGCTCCACAGAGTACCATCTCCAGTGAGGCTGTTTCTGGAATCTGTGTGATGACCAAGGTTTTGGGCATGGCTGCAGTTCGGGGCCCGAGGCCTCCACGGGAGAGGGGGCCTGTGGTGGTTAAAGATGAAGATGAAGAGGAAGGGCAGAGCCTTCCTAGCCTGGAGGTGTTCCGCCAGCGCTTCCGGCAGTTTGGCTACCATGACACGCCTGGCCCCCGGGAGGCCCTGAGCCAGCTCCGGGTGCTCTGCTGTGAGTGGCTAAGGCCCGAGATCCACACCAAGGAGCAGATCCTGGAGCTGCTGGTGCTGGAGCAGTTCCTGACCATCCTGCCCCAGGAGCTCCAGGCCTGGGTGCAGGAGCACTGCCCGGAGAGCGCCGAAGAGGCCGTCACTCTCCTAGAAGACCTGGAGCAGGAACTGGACGAGCCAGGACAGCAGGTAGTCTGGGGAGACCTTACATGCTGTGAGGCTGGGACTAGAGCACTCTGAGCAGGACTGGGTTTATCCATCCAATGGGAGGGGCTGACTGGAAGCTTATGCTGACTTAGATCATGTTTCCTCCTGTTCTTCTTCTGTCCAGTATTGATCTTTAGCCGTGGGACTTGAATGAGATGGATGTGTTTCTTTTCTTTTTCCTAGCAGTTGTACTTTAGCTCTCCTGAGGCTTGCTTTCGTTCTGCAGTTGAAAAGTCTGAACAACCCAGGGTTTAGGGTTGTCACCCCCCCTCCCCTCAGCCCACGTGCATTTGAAAATCCCAATATAACTTTTGATTCCCCAAAGTTTAACTTCTAAGTAAATAGCCCAATGTTGACCGGAAGCTTTACCAATAACATAAATAGTCAACACTTACTTTGTATGTTATGTGTGTTATATACCATGTTCTTATAATAAAGTAAGCTACAGAAAGGAAAACATTAAGAAAACCATAAGGAAGAGAAAATACATTTACTGTACTGTATGTATCAAAAAATACATATATGTGTATAAGTGGACCTGCATAGTTCAGACCCGTGTTCAGAGGTCACCTGTAGTTCTGAGGTGAGCTGTGCACAAACCCCGCCATTCATGGTTGTCTCTAGGTCTCACCTCCTCCAAATGAACAGCAACAGGTTTGGGAGAAGAGGTCCTCTTCAGGAACAGCAAAGTTTCCAAGCAACACGCAGCCCCAGTCTGTGGAGACCAGTCACAAATGCGAAGGTTGGGAGCCCTTATACATCCAGGAGACTGGGGAAGAGCAGGATTTCACTCCAGAGCTGAGAAAGAGTCAAGGTAGGGACTGTCTGTCGTGCTGTGTGCTTGGTGCCCCAAGCCTTTGTGGTGGAAGAAACAGAATAATTCTCATTACTGGTTGTGAGGCAGTCCCCCTAGACTGACTTGCCCGGTCTGGCTGCCTGGGCAGGATGAGTACCTGAGTGCCTTTCCTCCCAAGTGCATCTCAGCTAGAGTCCTAGCATGGGGTTGCGGGGGAACATGACACTCTTAAAAGTGTTGGTCGAAGTAAATTTTAAAAAGGGACTGTTCACAGAGGTGTGACAGGTTGAAGGAACCAGTGAGAGATGAGGCTTGTTCATTTGTTAATGACTGAGCGAAGAACCTGTTAAAATCAGCATTGGATTATGCAGAAATGGTCCCAGGTAAAATCTTTTCAGCTTCTGCCTCATAAGGTTATTTAAAATGTTTCACTTATTTATTGAGTTACTTATTTCCCACACAGAATACATGGTAACTTGAAGGAAAGTCTGTGTATGTAGCCAAGTGATTGCTCATCACCGAGAGTGAAGGGGACTTTTATCTGCCACGGCTGTGGTCCGGGCAGGCAGGGGGCGGGGGGAGGGGGGGGTGAGCATGCATGCGGCTGGGTGGTTGCTGCTGGCGGCTTGAGGAAAGAGATGGTCGAGTGGAGAGAGGGGGCCAGGGACCAGGGAAGGGGCTGAGAGGAAGGTACCTCATTGACAGAGGCTTCTGTACTCCTCGGGGGCCGCCGACAGGTGTCAGGGAGCCCCTGGTTCAGTGTGGATTTCTCTTACTCCCCTTTTCCATGTATGTGGACGGGTTAGACGGACTTGTAAGTGTGGCTGCCTAGTGCAGTGCTCTAAAAAAGATAGATGGCTTCAGTCTGGTTTAGCAGTATTAACTTTAGAACTAAAAGATGGTGAGACAGCCACTGTAGGGTACGTGCTGGGAATCAAACCCTCCTGGGAGGTGGGCACTTTGATTTAAACTAATAATGAGCTGGGACTAGCCTGGTCATACGTGGACTGAATGTCCTCTTTTGTTGCCTTTTTTTTTATTGTGTTTTGGTTTGATTTTTTTTTTTTATGTTATGTTGATCACCATACAATACATCATTAGTTTTTGATGTAGTGTTCCATGTCTTTTGTTACTTTTATATTCCACTTCCGTGAGAATGTGAATTTCATGAGTTTGCCGCTAGCCTCCTCTCCCTTAATTAATTACCCTTTTTATTTTCCTTAATCAACTTTGACCGTTCGGTAATATTTCTTACTTGTTTCTTTCTGCCTGAGCATCCCCCAGCTCCTATGTTTCTGTCCCAGTAGGCTTGGTTTTGCTTCCTGCCCTCTTTATGTGAAGTGCTTCTCGTGGCAGAGAAAGCTATGCCCTCGTCACAGCATTCTAGCTGCTGCTGGGGCTGGTGTGACAGCATCGTGCTGTAAACTAGATCTGGTGGTGACTTATTTGTGTCACTGTCATGTTGTGATCTCTCACCGAGCGATACTTGGTCACCATCCACGTCAGCTGACCTTTCTATTTCTCCTTCAACAGTTTCTTCTCAGAACACAAAACAACTGACCTGTTCTTATTCTACTTCTTGTTTCAGATTGTAACTCGAACACCCAGAATGAGGAATCAACAGACAAGCAGAAAGGTTCTGAAGAATCTCAAGAACTCAAAAGAGATGTTATTCCCATGATTATTGCCAGTAAATGTGAGGCCAGGTTAGAAAGGCAGTGGGTAAACCTTGAAAAGGAAAGAGGAACAAAAACTCCTCTCCTAGACAGAGGTTCCAAGAAAGGCAGAGAATTGATTCCCGCCAAACCTGCCCCAGGAGAGAGGCGGTACATATGTGCCGAGTGTGGAAAAGCCTTTAGTAATAGCTCAAACCTCACCAAACACCGGCGAACACACACTGGGGAGAAACCGTATGTGTGCACCAAATGTGGGAAAGCTTTCAGCCACAGTTCAAACCTCACCCTTCATTACAGAACACACTTGGTGGACCGGCCCTATGACTGTAAGTGTGGGAAAGCCTTTGGTCAGAGCTCAGACCTCCTTAAACATCAGCGAATGCACACCGAAGAGGCGCCGTATCAGTGTAAAGATTGTGGAAAAGCTTTCAGTGGTAAAGGCAGCCTCATCCGACACTATCGGATACACACTGGGGAGAAACCTTACCAGTGTAACGAGTGTGGGAAGAGCTTTAGTCAGCACGCAGGTCTTAGTTCTCACCAGAGGCTCCACACCGGAGAGAAGCCATATAAATGTAAGGAGTGTGGGAAAGCCTTCAACCACAGCTCAAATTTTAATAAACACCATAGAATCCATACTGGGGAGAAGCCCTACTGGTGTAATCACTGTGGAAAAACCTTCTGTAGTAAGTCAAATCTTTCTAAACATCAGAGAGTCCACCCTGGAGAGGGAGAAGTGCTTTAACAAATGTCAAGTAATGCTCTCTGGGTGGGTTTTGTTTTTATTAAACTTTAGCCCATGGATGCTAGGGAGAAGCCCAGTAATTGCGATATAAACTCTAGTCGTAGATTTTGTTTCACTCACACATCAAGGGGTGCCTGGAGAGTGGGTGCTCAGTGGCGGTACGGTGGCACGGAGGGGCTGGAAGGTGGCGGAGCACTCCTCGCTGGACAGCCCTCTGGGGCGCGGTCCCCTCACCTCGCCTTGGGCCCCAAGCCAGGCCGGCACTGCCTTTTGTATAGTTAAACTGAGTATATCCAGTGTAATTAAGGAAGGAACACTGAAACTGTTTAACTGTTTTAACATATATTCGAGAAGTATAAGATTTGTAAAGAATTGAGCCACACTGAACACAATTTAATCTGATTCGGAATAAACTTAAACATCTTGTAATGGTGCCTCAGGACTGTTAAATGGTATGTTGGTTACTGAACACTTCCAAGAGAGGAAACTACTCCTGCCGGTTTTAGTTTTGGGGAAATTTGGATTTGGGGTAATTAGGACTTTTCGTACTCATGAAGGTGCATATTGGGAAATTGGGGTAGAGTGTATAGAGAGCTGCATCTTGGTCTGTGTTGTGCCTTTTTTTTTTTTTCCTGCATACTGAACACATTTATTTCATCATGGAGAACATTTGTCAGCTCGTGTGCATTCTGGTGTGTGTATCCTGTCTCTGCCACAGTCTGAAAATCTGAGTCTGAAACTTCCTTCTAAACTCCACAACTCAGTAATATCCAGCATGATTCCTTTAAGTCCATCCTGTCTGTTCCCTGACTGTAGTCAGGTGAGATCTTTGCGTGGTCTCCAAGCAAGAAGAGTTTACTCTCCTGCAGCAAGGTGGGGAGGGGGTGGGGAGATGGCGTTTGTTAGACCAGAGGGTTCTGGAGAATTGGGGGCTTGAGGTGCTTAAGCACGCCTCCCCAGATTTCCAATGCATCAGGATCCCAATCAGGACCCAGAATTTTGGCATAAATGACTTGGCAAGGCTTTGCATTTAGCTGTCTCTGCAGTTCTGCCCGCCTCACAATCAACCCTGTGTTGGTTTTCAGGCCAGTCTGCTCTTGCTGCAGAAGATGGGAATCTCTTTAATCCCTCCTGTGGGCGACTTTGGCTTTCACAACATGCCCTGAAATGATAGTTGGCTGAACTAAGCCTATAATTTTCTTTCTTCAAAGCTTGAGAGAGCACCTGCAGTCCTTGTAATTGCCACTATCCCAACAAGGTTTCAAGTTCTAGGACTGTTTCAGAAACTCATGCTTCCCCTCCTACCAGAACCTCATATCCTGCCGTGCCTGGTAGAAATCTTCGTAATGGCTAGGTAGAGCATGCCGGGAGTCGTGACTACCGCGCTCATTACCAGGCTCCTCTTCCTAACCATCTGACCAGCGAGTGACCTGTTCCGGAATCCCCTCCTGAGGGCTCAGTTTATAGGGCCACTTCCAGTACCGACTGTTACAGTTTGGGTTTCCCCTAGGACAGCCTACAACAAGGGCTTGAGGGCAGATAGGTTACTTAGGTAGATGGCTCCAGGAAGCCAGGTGTGAGGGAGCGGGAAAGGAGGGGAGAAAAAAAGCCAATAGTGGGTGCACTGTTGAGCTGGTGGCCTCTGTGTGGGGACCTTCACACAACAACATAACAAATGGGAGAAACTGGTATACCTGAGCTCTGCTCCAAGCCCAGTGTCTAGCTGTGGTTAGGAGGCAGTGCCTCCTTGGCCCCAGAGAGCGGCTGAGAACCCCTGGTGGACTGGGAAGAAACTGTCCCCAGGGGGCTTTCAGGCTGTCTTGGTCTGAAGATGCTTGTGAGCACCCCCCACATATCACCCAGATACACACGTTTACACACACACACGCAGATAGATGTGCAGGACTTACATCTGGATTCTAGATACACTGGGGGCATACTTACACTAAAAAAAAATTATTCAGTGTTTATCTGCAACTCAGATTTAACTGGGCATTCTGTATCTCACAATCCTACCCCTGGCACTTGGGGGCAGCAGTGCTTCTACCCCTTTGTCTCCCCAAATGTAGTGATCTGATGGATTGAGGAGACTCACACCAGTAACATGTATATTTGTGGATGAAGTGACAGCTTTGTGCATCCCCGGAAATGCACTGTGACTTTATAAATTCTAGAATAGCCTCAAAGTGCTAGCCTGGAAATCAGGGCAGCAGCTCTTCCCTTGCAGCCCACCTCCAGAATTCTCTGTGGTGGAGATTGCTACAAGAGACAGAAGTGTCTGATCTATCTTGAGACGGGACATAACATAGCTGTTTCCACATTTCTGTGTAATGGCTTAATTTCACCCCATCTAGTCTATCTACAGTGACTCACATATAGTCCCAAGTATACGATTCGAAAATATTCTAGATGAGTAAGCCAATTTTGACTCTTATTACTACATTTCTAGTAATGTCAGAGCCAATATATGTTCACATTTCAATCATTTTTTTTCAACTTTTTAAATTGTAAAATACACAAGAGATTTACCATGTTATACGCCTTAAAAATATATAACTTATTAAAGACATACAAACTTTAAATTTATACCGAGCTAATAGGAAATACCTCATTTTAGGGGCGCCTGGGTGGCTCAGTTGGTTGGGTGTCTACCTTCAGCTCAGGTCATGATCCCAGGGTCCTGGGATCGAACCCCGTGTCATTGGGCTCCCTGCTCAGTGTGTAGTCTGCTTCTCCCTCTGCTCTTCCTTCCCCCCGCCCCACTTGTACACTCTCGCTCACTCAAATAATTGAAAATATTTTTAAGATTTTATTTATTTGACAGAGCAAGCACAAACAGGGGAAGAGGGAGAAGCAGGCTCCCTGCAGGTAGGGAGCCAGATGCAGGGCTTGATCCCAGGACCCTGAAATCACGACCTGAGCCAAAGGCAGACACTTAACCGACTGAGCCTCCCAGGTGCCCCAAATGAAATCTTTTAAAAAAGAAAATAGTTAAATTTTTTGAAAGATTTTATTTATTTATTTGAGAGAGAGAGAGCCGGGGTAGCAGGGACCGCCGAGGGAGAGAGACAAGGAGATTCTGCCCTCAGCACGGAGCCCAACGCAGGGCTCAGTCCCACAACCCTGAGATCATGACCTGAGCCCAGATCAGGAGTCAGATGCTCAACCAACTGAGCCACCCAGTCGCCCCTGGAAATAAAATTTTTAAAAAGGGGAGGCAGCATTAAAGACAGTGATGGGGGAAAAAAAGACTAAAAGATTTTAAACTTTATTCAGTAATTGTATCATTTGTGTGGTAACTGTATTGTTACTTTGAGAACTATTTACTTGAAATGTCAGGAAAAAAAATAAACCATTATATTTATTTAGTTTGAAATGAAGGGGGCGCCTAGCTCGCTCAGTCAGTAGAGCATGTGACTCTTGATCTCAGGGTCCTGAGGCTGAGCCCCATGTTGGGGGTAGAGTTTATTTTAAACAATTTTTTTTTTAATGAAGAGTTACCCATAGAGGATAAAGGAGTATAGTTGTAGAATTAAGAATTTAAGGGCGCCTGGGTGGCTCAGTTGGTTAAACGACTGCCTTCGGCTCAGGTCATGATCCTGGAGTCCCGGGATCGAGTCCCGCTTCGGCCTCCCTGCTCAGCACGGAGTCTGCTTCTCCTTCTGACCCTCTTCCCTCTCGTGCTCTCTGTCTCTCATTCTCTCTCTCTCAAATAAATAAATAAAATCTTTTTAAAAAAAAGAATTTAAGTAAAACTGGATTGGCAGTATCCAATATTAACTCATTTCTTTACAATGAAATACCTATCTTTTTTTTATTTCTGTCCAAGAGCAATTGCCTAGAAATAACGTGAACCCCAATATGCATATATTCCCCCTCCCCGGCTATATGGCACCAGTGTTCCATGGAGAAATAGCTAATTCAGAAAAAATATAAGGTGAGACTGGTAATTTTGTTGTGCCAAAAGGCTTTCAAATTTAATGAGGTTGGGGCACCTGGGTGGCTGTCATTACGCGTCTGCCTTCAGCTCAGGTCATGATCCCAGGGTCCTGGGATCGAGCCCCGCATCGGGCTTCCTGCTCGTGGAAAGCCTGGTTCTCCCTCTCCCACTCCCCCAGCTTGTGTTCCCTCTCTCGCTGTGTCTCTCTCTGTCAAATAAAATCTTTTTAAAAAAATTTAATGAGGGGCGCCTGGGTGGCTCAGTTGGTTAAGCGACTGCCTTCAGCTCAGGTCATGATCCTGGAGTCCCGGGATCGAGTCCCGCATCGGGCTCCCTGCTCGGCGGGGAGTCTGCTTCTTCCTCTGACCCTCCCCCCTCTCATGCTCTCTATCTCTCCTTCTCTCTCTCTCTCAAATAAATAAATCTTTAAAAAAAATTAATGAAAATAAAAAAATAAAAATTTAATGAGGTTATATTGAGATGACACAGGGACCAATCTAAAATGAGCTCACGTTGGGATGCCTGGGTGGCTCAGCAGTTAAGGGTCTGCCTTCAGCTCAGGTCATGATCCCAGGGTCCGGGGATCAAGTCCGGCATTGGGCTCCTTGCTCATCGGGGAGCCTGCTTCTCCCTCTGCTTGCCACTCCCCTTGCTTGTGCTCTCTCTTTCAGAAATAAAAATAAAATATTTTTTAAAATTAAAAGAAATAAAGAAATAAAATTAAAAAATAAAATAAGCTCACATTGGCCAGAGTTGTGACAATTTGAGCATCAAAGAGAATATTGGCTGAGGTTGATTGTCATATATTTAGTCCAAAAAGCCAGAGTCTACAATGATTAACAAAGTAAAGTATTCTGAAAGAATGGCCATTGGAAGCTCTTTCAGAATAAGAAGTAATTCTGTTGAATCTTGTTATTCAAACACATTGGTATTATGGACTACTTTACAATATTGATGAGGAAAGAAAATAATACATCAATGAGGAAGTATTTTCTGACTCAAAGGAAATAGCAGTAAAAAGACTCTAAGTTTTGATCTTGAGTTAGACAAAGCCAGGTAAAATATCCACATACAAATTTAAGTCTCCTTGAGAACTTTATGGTTTTCCTAACATGAAAGAATGGAAGATCCCATAAGGTCCCAAAGTCATTAAAATTACATTTCTTAGGATCCTGTCAAATCAAAGAATTAGCGGGAGAAAGAAGTGTACCTAGCATAAAGCTTATTCCCTCAGGTAGGAACTGCAGAATTCTATCAGCAGAAAGAAGTTGAACACATAAATGGCTTGAAATGAGGGAAGTGAGCTAAAATATCATTCCCCTTAATGTCAACAAGGACAATTTCAGTGGAGATAGGGTTGCCAGATTAAATGCAGGATGACCTGTTAAATTTCAATTTCAGGTGAACAACGAATAATTTTTAATAAAATGTCTCATGCAATATCTGGGGCATAGTTTGTATGTATTTGAGGACGTACTGGAGGTAAATGAAGAAGTCCATAAATATTTACTTGCTTGTTTATCAGTCATTGCAGAGTTGTTATTATCAGGCAGTGTTCTAGATTCTGGAGGATTACATTGCTAAATAAGACAGTGTTTCTGGGGCGCCTGGGTGGCTCAGTCATTAAGCGTCTGCCTTCGGCTCAGGTCATGATCCCAGGGTCCTGGGATCGAGCCCCGCATCGAGCCCCGCATCGGACTCCCTGCTCCGCGGGAAGCCTGCTTCTCCCTCTCCCACTCCCCCTGCTTGTGTTCCCTCTCTTGCTGTGTCTCTCTCTGTCAAATAAATAAATAAAATCTTAAAAAAAAAAAAAAGACAGTGTCCCTGCTCTCAGGGACTCTAGTAGGGGCTGGAGGAGAGGGAATACTGACAATGAGAAGTAGACAGATACACAAAATAATTCCAGCCACTAATATTGGAATTTTTTTAAAAGTTAAATATTTCCTTTTTTTTAAGATTTATTTTTATTTATTTTGGAGAGAAAATGTGGGGGGGTACAGAGAGAGAAAGAGGAAGGAGTATCCCACCAGACTCCCCGGAGTGCGGGGAGCACGGAGCCCGATGTGGGGCTCAATCTCATGACCCTGAGATCATGACTGAGCCAAACCAAGAGTCGACACTCAACAGACTGAGCCACCCAGACACACGTAATTTTGGAGTATTTTTTAAAAGATGAGAAAATCGTATTTTCAAGTGTTTTCTGGGTGCAGATTTGAGAGGCTTTTCTCAATAAGTTGGGCATCACTTATTACTAAAGTATTAAATCTATTGCTATTTTTGCTTTTGCTTTTTCAAATTTCCTTCCTTTAAAAAAAATTTTTTTAAGTAAGCTTTATGCCCAATGTGGGGCTTACATCCAAGACCCTGAGATCAAGAGTTGCATCCTCTAGAGACTGAACCAGCCAGGCACCCCTCTACTTTTGCTTTTATAGACGTAAATGAAAAATCCTGCTCACGTAATTTGAGAAGATGAGTGGTAGAAGGAATATAGTTACAGCAATGTTGATTTTACATAGCAAAATCACACTGTGATCTATCAACAGAAATGGTTTTGTCCTCCTTTGCTTTTACTGGAGGGAAGTACTGGGAAATCACTCGAATCACAAAGGATTTGTCCACCTAATCCTATTGGCAGCAATATTTCAAATGAGTCCTTTTGTTTGGTATCCCCAAAATTTTGATACCCCAGGGCAATACATAGCAGTATTTGGGGGTGAGAAACCTATCTTCCATCAGGAGGGAAGGTGGCCATGAAGGAGGGCACCCTGGCCAAGGGAGCAATCTTAAAGGTGTACAGATAGAAAATATGAGACTCTGGCAATTGATTCTCTCAAAACTAGCTGCTCACACAGACGCTCTGAGAATATTTGTGTTCTCCATCCCCCATTCCTACCTGCCAGGTTGCTCATATCCTTGTCTGAAGACTGCTATGAAGACCCCGGTGAGGCTACCAGTGCCCTCCTTTCTATTGACTTTTGGTAAGGCTTACTTTTTTACTCTTTATTTTCTTCCTTTCTTTTAGATAAAAGCTTTACAGAAATTCCAACACTTCCTTTCCCACCTTAGTGGATTGCCTTGAGCATCCCTTAGGTGACTCATGACACTCCGGAGACCATGGACTCAGAAGAATAATCATTAAGAGCATGGCTTTTGAAAACTTGCTGGGAATTAGCCAGCTGGCTGGGTTCTGGGGCAAACAGCAACCATGAGCTACAAATTGACTTCTCAGCCCCAGAGTAATAAAGTTGATAGCATTGAAGGTGCTGGGTGTCTAAGAGCTGTTCCCTTCGGATGGTCGGTCATTAGGGAACCTTTTACAGAACAAACAATCCCACTTTGAGGAGACCATTTCCACCCTGCCCTGCTCTCCTTGCCCCTGCCTCCTTCCTCATCTCTGTCTTTCTTGTCCTGAAGTAGGAGTGGAAGAAAAAGGATGGAGGAGAGATTAAAAAAAAAAAGCCCAGCGATCGTGTGTGTGTGTGTGTGTGTGTGTGTGTGTGTGTGTGTGTGTGTGTGTGTGGTTTTGGTGGGTATGAGGGTGGGTATTGAGTTTACTGAGGGACTTGATTATGCCAAGTGCTTGCTCAAATTCTCATTATGGTCTGGAAGGACTGGAGATGGGTCAGGCACCCACCCATCATCTCAGGCCACCCTCAAGGTGTTATTAGTGACTCCTGTTCTGCCTCCAGGCCTTAGTCCTGACTATTTCCTCTGCCCTAGCATCCCCTTCTCCTCCAGGGCCTGCAACACTTCCGCAAATTCTCCTTTCCTAGCACTTTTCATATTTTACTGGAATTGGGTCATTTGAATTGCTGTCCTTAGCCTGCCGTCACCGGAAAGTGAGGTCTGTTGCATTCGCAGAGCTGACTGTGGGCGCCATAAATACGGGACGCAGTGGAAACTGGGATCAAATGGGAGGCAGGGCTGGAAGGGGAGCCAGGAGGGCCCCCCGTTACTCAGGATATCACAAGATTTCATTCTGTATGTGACCTGGAAGGACTTGATGCCTACACTTACAGGGTTCCTCCTGTGAGGGCATAAAGTGAGCGAACCACGGAAACCTTCCCCTCCTCCCCTCCAGGATTTCACACATTGGGCTCCTGGGGGGCCTCGCCCGCCAGTCTTGTATTCTTCGGATGCACCGGGTAGATTGGTAGCTTCCCCGACTTTCCTCTCTCATCGCTTGTACAGGTTGTGTCCTCACGGGGACTCTCTGATGGGCTGGAATGTTCTCTTCGGATTTTAATTTGAAGGGGACATTTTTACATGAAACAAACACAAAACTTGGTTTATTTGGAAATTTCAAATAAAGGTGAATATTTTCTATCGATGAACCTTCAGAGGTCTTCCTTTTTGCTGCGGGTCGGCTCGGGACCCGGGTCGCTCTGGCAAGGTGCGCTCTCCTCTACCCTCGACGATCCGCGGGGTAACCCCTGTCGCCCCCGCCGGTTCTGGCGCGCCCAAGCATGCGCCCTGAGGCCGAGGGACGCGGCGCTTCGCCCCGCCCGGCCATCAGGGGGCGCAGCGGCGGGCGGGAGCGCCAGGGCCGGCGTTGGCGGCCGCCGCGCGGCCTAGGCCGGGAGTCAGCGTATCACCGAGAGGGGAACACCTCCAAAGTTCCTAGAGAGAACAAGTGGGCGTGGAGGCTACGGGGATAGGGTGGGGAGTGAAAAGGATCGACCCGGAAGCGAAACAGAGAGAACTTCCGTTCTTTGTTCTGTCCGGGTGTGTGGGTCTGTGACAGGGTCCAACGGGGCCTGGTCGGTGTCTGGCCCCCCAAATCTCCCGTCCCTGCCCCCAGGGTGAGTCCGGCCGCCCCCGGGGCTCGCGGTGAGACGGAGGCTATGGCCGCCGGGGAAGGGGGTGGTGTCCGCGCCGCTGCGGCCCGCGGGGTCCCAAGGCCCGTCCGGAGCTGCCGGGAGGCGCCGCTCCCTCCCCCGCAGCGGTCCCCGACTCCGCTTCCCCGGGGACCTCCCTCCTCCAAACGGGGCCTTTCCAGGAGGGGAGGAAAGGGGCTCCGGTTCTGGGCTTGTGACTTAGCCCAGCTCGAGCACTTAAAAGTTCCAGTACGGCTGTAAACGGGCCCCTGTCTTTAGAACAGCTGATGACAGCTCCCCTAACTTGGTAATCCTCCCAGACGCTTTTATTTGGTGTTAACACAGTTACTCGCGCCAGTGGCAGGAGAAGTCTCTTTGTACTTAGCCGGGTCTGAGATCTGAGAAGGAGTTCAACGAAGTGTTCGCAGTTAGAACTAGGTCTGGAATGGGGGGGGGGGGGGAGGGTGCAAACTTAGTTCCCAAGAATAATCCCCTGGCGCTCAGTAAATCGAGTCCCTTACGGGGATTGGTACAGCTGTGTCTGGCTCCCGCTTTCAATTGTGTTAGGTCCCTGATTTGATCCGCTTTTGAAGTGGGATTGAACGCAGATGGATGTTTACGCTCTGAATGGCATTCGTAAACTCCAGGAGAGGATAGGCAGGATGATGAACCCGAAATACATGGAACAATGAGAAGAGCTAAAGGTATTTATCCCCAAGAAGAGAAGTTTATGGACAGTGAGCGTCAATAGGTTTACAAGTGTTTGAGGAACAGTTCTGTGGAAGGAGAAGATTCTGTTCTTGAAGCACCTTAGGGCAGGGCGCTAGGCCTCTGTAAGGTGAAGGTCCGGGGGGATAGATTTTCCCACCTTACCAACCGAAGACCTCTCTGATGGTGAAGCTCTGCAGCAATGGACCAGACTCTGTGCTGAGGTTGAGAGTTTCTTGCAAGTTTAGCTGTCAGAACATTGGGAACTTGAGAAGGCATTTCTTACACTTGGGTGGGAGGTTGACCTGGAGAACCTTCAGTCGCCTTTCAGCTCTCCAGGGGTGCAACACAAATAACCAGTTCTCTCTTACTTGTGTTGATTAGCGTATGGTCTCTTTTCCTTATATATATCTGAGTAGAAATGAAGTTTACATGAATATTTTTTAATTCCTTTTCCCCCCCCTTAATCATACAGCACTGGTGTCACCTTAAGTTAGAATTACCAGGAACTTGCACAAAGGCTTCCAAAGTCCCAATAATTGCTACTCTGGTTTTCTAGGACCTAACTCCAAAGAAGGAAGGAAAGATTCCAGCAGGTAAAGCTTTTCATGACTCGTTCTCACTGCCAGGTCATCTTTGTCAGTCCACAGAAGCAGCTTCAGGGAGAGGCGCTGGCCCCGGAGCAGGGAAGGGCCTTGCCTGGACCTGAGGCTGTGGGGGCACAATGGAGATTTTTCTTTCTGTGAGAAACATTGTGTACTGATGCAGACACTGGGGACTTGTTCTCAACAATATGCCTTTGAGTTCCAGCTTCAGTTAACCCAGCTTTGAGGAGGGAGGCTTGTTTTTTTCCCTCTGGAGTCAGAGCCTCTGAGTTTCCTTTCTAAAGAGAGTTTGGACCAAGAGCTGATTGGTTGGAGGTGTCTGCTTATAAACAGTCCTGGAAATCATAAAGTTGGTTGATAGGAACAAAAGATGACCGGCTCTGAGACAGAGTTGAAGGGACCCAGCAAGGAGGGAGCCTTGGTGGCAATAGCGTGTGTCACCTTGATTGCCAGTGGGCCTGGCTCACGCCTCATTCAGTGCCTTTCTCTGTGTAAAGGCATTGGTGGTGGGCATTCTGTACCCCCTTGTTGCCCAAACACTAGAGTTCTGTGAACTCTGACTCTCAGGGCCCCTCTCCTTTTCATGCTTTATGTGAATGCAGCGGTCTATAATGATAAAGCAAATATTGTTCACATTCCTTTCAGTAGTGTCTTGCAATGTAGTGACAGCAGTTGTTTGTTACATGAGCAGATAAATAAAGAGGGAAGTAGACAAAGTCCAGGGGTTTTTTCCTTCGCTCTTGCCCAAGTGTAAGGAAACTCTGGTGGCTGTTCTTGGTCTGTTGACTCCTGTCACGGCATTCAAGTGTGAAGTAGAAACTTCTGCTTGAGATCCAAACCGTAGTCTAGATACTCACGTTCTGTTTTATTCACTAGAGCCACAGAGAACAGACCTCTTTTGATTGTCAAAGCAACTGGGGAATGGGGACGTCAGGAGGGATGATAATGGAGTAATGAGTGATCTTATGTTTTTTTAAAAAAAGTGTCAGTCCCTGCGGCAGGGACTTATATTCTGATCCAAGAAAATGTCTTAGGAGAAAAGGGAGGTAGAAAGAAGGCTGGCTGCTACCTTCTCAGTGACGGGCCCAGCCTCTAGATCCGGCCGGTACATACACCTGCTCCCTGCCATGACACTGCATGGGGACCACAGAAGGGGCCCCCGTCCCTCAGTAACATCCTGCCTTTGGCTGAGACTGGAAGCAGACAGCTGTCTTAGAAAGGGGGAGAAGGATTTCTCTAATTTAATTAATAGATCTGAGCTATTTGCCCTTAGTTCTGGGTGTCAGCTGTTATTTTCCTAGGGTTTTCTAAATGTGAGACCGAGAACTCAATGGAAAGTTTCTCTGATCTCTGCCATTGGGTGCTGTTTTGTGACCCCTTTTCCTCAAAGGATAACACCTAAATGTAATATAACAGCTAGAAATCTAATAAAGTAATTTTTTTCCTTTTACTAGCTCTAATGTTTATGAGGTTTTTTTTTTTTTTAAAAATCTGTAAACAGGAGCACCTGGGTGGCTCAGTGGGCTAAGCCTCTGACTCAGTCTCAGCTCAGGTCTTGATCTAAGGGTTGTGAGTTCAAGCCCAGCATGGAGCCTACTTAAAAATAAATAAGTAAATAAAAAATCTGTAAACAGTTAGTTTTATGCACTGCCCCAAATATTCTTAAAAGTTCATACAATAAATACACATTTTGCAGATCTATGTGTACATACTTTTTCATTTTATTGTTTTTTTTTTTTAAATTTCAATTGTTGCTTAGTATTTAATTCTGTTAGTATCATTATTTGGCACCAGTGTTCCACTTTTTTTGTTGTTCTAAATATCACTCAGTATGTTATGAGAGCCAAAGGTGGGATATTGTCTAGGAACAGGGGCCCTTTCTGTGGTGCTCATGGAATCTCTTCACAGGGTATTTACCAGGATCCAGAAGACTGGTCCTGGTTCCTACATTTCCTCCTGCTAATCGTGGGTATTAACTGAAATGCTAGCTCAGGGGAAGTGGTTTTTTTGGTTTTTTGTTTTTTTAAATTATTGAACCTTGAACTTTGCTTCTGCAGTGCTTCCTCATACTCATTCAAAACCTGCTTCCTGCTGAGTCTGCAGATAGTGGACCAGAGCTTCTAGCCCTACCCATGGAAACTCAGGCTGATTGCGTATCTCAGGAACCTCAGGCCCTGCTTGAGAGTGGTAAGGAATAGAGATTCATTTATTCTTTTATTCAGGCATTCAGAAGTCATGCTGCATGTCTTATCCACCAGGAATCGGGCTAACCACTAGAATCCAGATGTGGCTGAGACACAGTCCTTCCCGTTTGGTAGCTTACAGCCTAGTGGAAAAGCTAACTGAAGCCAGCAATAAATGTACAGCTTGGTAGCCTTTACAGCTGAGGCATCTATGAAGGGCCATTGGGACCTCATGCAGGATTAAGAAAACTGACAGTCACAGAATTCCAGGTGCTTGGTAGCAGCTGACCTCATAGTCCTACTTTATGTTCTTTAGGAGCATGCACTTAGGGGAGGCTCTTGGGAAATCACTTTGTAGGTCACAGGCAAAAGGATGAAATGAGCAGAAGCCACTAAAGTATTTGTATTTTGCTGTCATCGACTATGCCACTGACTTTGGAGCCAATTGCCGTTGAAAGGGTATGCTTATCAGGAAAAAACATTCAAGGATCTCTTTGTCCCGGTGATTGCACAGTCTTGTGTTTCTAGGGGTTTAGAGTCTCTAAGGGACAAATATGTTAAGAATTACAGAAGAAGAGATGTGATCAAGCCCAGAACCAGGAAACATTCTGTAGTGTTTAGATTTGACCTGGGGGTGAAGAGAAAGAAGGAGAATGGGCATCGGGTTGTTCAGTTGGGGTTGGGTGAGGCTGCTGGTTTCCTCTGGTCTAAGAGACCTTTGTGCACGAGTCTTGAGTTCAGAGATGTGGAGAGGGATGGAAGGGGTGAGCAGGAATGTCCGCGTTGCTGGCCAAGGTTGGGAGAAAGGACAAGAAGGTGCTGACCACTAATGGGAGGACTGGGCTGGTTTCCGGGAGAGAGCAGTGACTGAACAGAAGGGAAGGTACCTGGGGCAGATGGAGAGCAGGAGCAGCAGGGCTTTGGACGCCTCACTTCAAGAGGGCGTGGGTCCTAGGTTGTTCCAGGACCCAGTGTGTTTTCTGTGGGTTGGGAGGCCAGAGAGCAGATGGGTTCACTCACGGAGCCTTTTATTGTCCTTCAGCTCTTCCTTCCTCTACAGTTCCTGCCTTTTCCGACAAGGACAGCCTGGGCGATGAGATGTTGGCAGCCGCACTCCTAAAGGCCAAGTCCCAGGTGAGCTGTGGTTCCCTTTATCTTCCTCCCTTCCCATTTCATGGAAACCTTTATGCCATGACATCCATTCAGTGCCCCAAACCGAGATCCCCCCCATCAGGAACATGGTCCTTTCCTGCTGAATAACGGACCCCTCTCTTCCTCTGCCGTAAGCTCCTTTCCCCCACCTCTTAGATACTCATTATTCATCCCTATGCCCAGTTGTTATTTTTGGTGCTGCCGGTCCCCTCCCTCCCCCTGAAATTGCATGCAAGACCGTGTTGTTTCAGGAGTTGGTAACGTTTGAGGATGTAGCTGTGTACTTCATCCGGAAGGAGTGGAAGCGTTTGGAGCCTGCTCAGAGGGACCTATACAGGGATGTGATGCTGGAGAATTATGGGAATGTGTTCTCACTGGGTAAGGAGATAACGCTTTCTCAGTAAAACTCCCTTGGCATTTCTTTGTTTCCTTGTTGGCTAGTGACACTTGAGTCGCAAAATGATCAGCTAAAGATTGACGTAGTCTCAGAAAATTCTAACAATAATAGGAACTCCTGCTTGTACAGTAATTGGCAGTTTATAAAGAGCTTTCCTGTACGTTCTGTCGTGGAAACCTCACAGTAACACAGTAATAGCGGTTGCTAGGGTTCTTCTTGTGTTCTCGGTGATGAAAGAGAAGTCAGAGGCCTTCAGTGCTTCACGGTGGTCCTATAGCTAGCAAGTAGCAGGACTCGGGCCCTGGTCTTTCAGCTCCAGAGCTGCTGCTTTTTTTTTTCCATGTGATTCTTAATGTGTAATTCAGAGCCCTTTCCAAAAGATGAGCATCTCGGGATCCCTGAACACGTGAGGTACTGCTGGGCGCCCATGTGCTTATTCTGGAACTCCTTCTCCTTCCCTTCTCTGTTGTACCCCCTCGAGGGGTCCATTGCTTTGCTCAGAACTAGCGTGGCTGCGACTCCTGGAGAGATTTGCAACTGGCGTCTTTAACCTTTTACTCTGTGGACTGTTAATCTGTGACTTGTCAGTCACGCACTGTCAGTGAGAACATTTTTTGGGCAGTGTAGAGCGTCGCCCTCCCTCCCATTGGAGACTCCCTGCACATTTCCTTGCTGGCCCTGCGAATCCTGGGTGCGGACTCAAGCTCTGGGACCACTCGCTCTGAGCAGGATAAACCTTGTCCCGTGGGCAGGATTTCCATTTCTGAATTTTGACACAATCTGTGGGCTGCATTGAGACGACGAGCCAAGGGTCCTGGGTTTGAAGGGACCTGAGAACAGAGAGGTCCTGAGAGGTACCTGTTCAGGGGAGGGAGAAACAGCTGTTTCGGTTCTCTAACACTCATTCCCTGTCTTTACTTCTTAAAACATTGACAGACTAAAACTGCTGTCTAGACCCTTTTCACTCATCCTGTTTGCCCAGAGCTCCCTTTGAAAATCCCAAAGCAGTGGAAATAAGGAAGTCAGGCAAGAAGATGGTTTGTGTACCCTCACACCTTGGCCCAGCCTTCGAGGCCTAGGGCCTAGAGGCGGACTGAGCTCCATCTTTTGCCTCTTTCCGTGGGTGTGGCATGTGTGGCCTACAGACGTGATTGTTCTTTTCACCTGAGGCTGTGGCGGTCACTGTGGCCTCCGCCTCGTCGCTTCTTCCTGCTCTGCGCTGTTTCCCATCACCCTTCTGGGCTTGCTTATGTTTCTTCTTCCCTATCTTCTGGAAGCCACTCTCTTCCCCACTTGCATTTCCAGTCTCTGACCTCTGTGAGAATTTTGTCACTTCATTAAACAGCGTGTCCGTTCTCTTCTGTTTCTGCTTCCCCACCCCTGCCTGGTCTGTCTTCCTCTCCTCCCATCTCCAGCCTTCTCTATACTTCCAGATCTTTGCACTTTGATTTTGCTTCTTGCCTTTCTCCTTCCTTATTTTCTCGATGCAGATTTCTCATTGTGCATCAGCTGCGCCCAGCCCGGGCAGGTCTGCACACAGATGAGAGGCTTGTGCTTTAGCCCCGTGAACGTCTTTCTCGTAATTATCCTGTCCGCTGGTTTTGGTCCTTTCTTCCACAAGGAACAAGTGATGTTTGTATTTTGTGTTGTGCCAGATGGTGAGACCAGAACTGAGCATGATCAAGAAATTTCCGAAGGTACCGGATCACATGGGGTGCTATTGGGAAGATTCCAAAAGGATATTTCTCAGGGTCTTAAATTTGAAGAAGCCTATGAACAAGAAGTCAGTCTCAAGAGGCAACTGGGGAACTCCTCTGGAGAAAGATTGAATAGGAAGATACAAGATTTTGGTCAAGTGACAGATGAGGAAAAGCTAACCCCCGTGGGAGAGAGAAGTGAGAAATACAGTGATTTTGGGAACAGCTTCACTGTGAGTTCTAACCTTATTTCGCATCAGAGACTTCCTGTGGGAGACAGACCCCATAAGTGTGATGAATGTAGCAAGAGCTTTAATCGAACTTCAGACCTTATTCAACATCAGAGAATCCACACTGGGGAGAAACCCTATGAATGTAGTGAGTGTGGGAAGGCCTTCAGTCAGAGCTCACATCTTATTCAGCATCAAAGAATCCACACTGGAGAGAAACCTTACGAATGTAACGATTGTGGGAAGACCTTCAGTTGTAGCTCTGCCCTCATTCTACATCGGAGGATCCACACAGGGGAGAAGCCCTATGAATGTAACGAATGTGGGAAAACCTTTAGCTGGAGCTCCACCCTTACTCATCACCAGAGAATCCACACTGGAGAGAAACCGTACGCTTGTAATGAATGTGGGAAGGCCTTCAGCAGGAGCTCCACCCTTATCCATCACCAGAGAATCCACACTGGAGAGAAGCCCTATGAATGTAATGAGTGTGGGAAGGCCTTCAGCCAGAGCTCCCACCTCTATCAGCACCAGAGAATCCACACTGGAGAGAAGCCCTATGAATGTATGGAATGTGGAGGAAAGTTTACTTACAGCTCAGGCCTTATTCAGCATCAGAGAATCCACACGGGGGAGAATCCCTATGAATGTAGTGAGTGTGGGAAGGCCTTTAGGTATAGCTCAGCTCTTGTTCGCCACCAGAGAATTCACACTGGAGAGAAGCCTTTGAATGTAATGGGAATGAGCAAAAGTTCTCTCAGAGTCACTGCTCAATTAAATATCAGAGAGTCTACCTGAGAGAGCGCCACACACCTGTTTTCCTCACTTCCTCTGCGTCTAAAGAGTTCCTGCCTTACTATATAAGTATGAACATCTTAGAATGTGTCCCTTCCAACTCAAACCTTTCACTTTAGAGAACGGGGCAAATTGGGGAAATCATGCTGGCACATCCTCGTGGTGAGCCACCAGGTCAGTTTCCCCAGGAATCACACCAGGAGGCAAGCGGCAGGCTAAGTGCTGGGAATACGAGGGAAGCTCTGGGACCAGTCACCTTCCATTTTGGAAGTGAGTTTGCACTAGACCATTTCTCTCACACCCGAGGAGCCTTTCTTTCCAAGGTGGGGAATGGAAGCACAGTAGGAATAAAATTCCAAGGATTCCTCCAGTTGGAGTCAGTATGCTCAGCACAGAAGGCAGTGGAAAGGATGTTTGGAGTCCTGCTCTTTGCTAAGAAGGGCACATGGAGGCTCTCTTTCAAAGCCACTGTTCCTAACCCAGCTTTAAGTTTTGATAAGGAATGTGCTGTTTGTTGTTGTTGTTGTCATTGTTCCATGACTTCCTTAATTATGGAAATTTGGGGCTGAGGGATTATTTTATGGGGGGACCCCATGTATTTTGGGGGGCTCTTGGAGCCACAAGCCCGGTTCCAAGAGCAGCGAGGCAATTTTGTTGGAGAACTTGTCCTTCCCTATTGTGATAGGTCTGATTGGGAAATCCATCTGATCATCAGTAAGGCTCACAGGGAGAGGATCAAAAGCATTTAGCATTGGCCTGCTTCCTATCCTCTCTCCCTGTTCCTCTCCCCACTCCCGCGTGGAAAACTGATTTAATCCAAACCCGCCGTTGCTAAGAATAGAATGCTTTGAAGGAGCTCGATCAGCCAGCTTGCCCTGCCCTCTGTCACCTATGACCTATGCCATCTGGCTCCAGCGGCTGGACCTCTCATGACCCCACCCTCTGACTTCAGCAGCCAAGTATGAATGCAAAGAAAGAGCAAAACCCAGAGAAGGGAGTCTCTGGCCTGACACGGCCGCTGGGCTCCTTGCTGGGTTAGGATGGAGCTCGAGTTTTCCCAGCTGAAGGGATGATCTTTCGTTATCTTTTCCCAATCCTGCTCATCCTGTAGCATAAATGAAGTGCACTATTAAACAGAATAGTTTTTTTTAGAAGGAGAGATTGTGTTTTTGTGCAGGAGCCAAATTTATTTCAATTAAAATAGGAAACCATGACTATAACTGGAATCTTTAAAATTTAATCTTTTAGAATTTTTTTTTTTTTACAGACAACTGTTTCTCTTTCACACACATACGACCTCTCACTGTCAAGACTCTGTCGCATTCCTCTGGATACCACCACAGACTCTCAGTCACGTACACGTCGGATTTCGTGTGCGGCATATCATTCTGTGTAGTACGATACTTAAGACCAGCAACCCAAACTAGAAAGGTGTTCCTGGGTGTGGGGGCCCTGACAAGCGTGTACTTGGGTTTTGGGTCGCAGTGGGCATATGTAGATTTCTTGTTCGGGCTCTTGGTGGGAGGAGGTTCCAGTCATGGAGAAGGTGGAGATGAAAGTCTTATGGAGAAAATGGGGAAATGTCTGGAACTGGCCTCTGGAAAATCTTAGAGCATATATTGTGATTGACCACCTAATATGTTTTTGATTCTTAAAGCTATAATGAAACTCATTCTTTTGGCTCTTCATTGAGATTCCCCACATACTTACAGATTGACTTTGTGTCTCAAAGTGTAGGCCATGAACTACCCATATTAGAATCACTAGGCTGCTTGTTAGTAATGCAGGTTTCTGAACCCCCAAATCGGACCTGTCAAATAATTTCTGAGATTAGAGCCTAAAAATTTACACTGAAAAGCAAGAACTAGTAACGGAGTAGAGAATATTTCTGGAGGGAGATGAGCAAGGTCTTGTAAAACCTCTAAAACATAGAGGAGAAGAGGTTCCAGGCAGGACCATTTGGGGGTGGGTGAGGCCTGAGCATGGCCGCTTATGTGGAGATTCAGGTTGTGGAGCTCTGGGAAAGACCCCCCCGAACAGGTAAAACTGCTAGGTGATGGATAGTCGCCACACATGAGGGATCAACCACTTCTCTGCCCGCACGCTGAACTCCCCCAACCCACACAGACCTCATGACTCCCTCCTTGAGAGCATCTCCGTGGGACCTGGGAATGATCTGGACTGTTGCATGAAAATTAATCTTTGAAGCTACTATAACATTTTACTCATCTGGTTTTCCTGATTATTCCTATTTCCCATCATGATTCCTCTTTTCTCAATCCTGAGTGTTCCTGAATGCTGGGTCATGATACCACTTTGTCTTTCTTTACCATTACCCTTGGAGCCACTTACTCCTATAGTCCCAACTCTTATCTGTGCAAATAAGTTTTAAATCTGCTCCTGTGCTACTAGTCTCTCCCAAGTTCCAGTCTTGGGTCTCCGGCAGACTGCTGGGCATTTGTACTTGGACCTCTAAAAGTTTCAAGTTAACGTGTTTCAAACCAGATACATCTTTCCCATAAATTGCCCCCTCTCAAAATTTCTATAAACTCAGGGTCAAACCTTCAGAGTTTTCTTTGGTTGCTCATCCTACATCTGACCAGCATCAAGTCCTAGGCAGGTGAATTCAGTAGGCATGGAGTGGAAAGAGATTATTGGCAGAGGGGAGGGTTTCAGAATTGAGGTCGTGGGGGAGGTGGGATTTCCAAGTGATGGTAATAATAGGAGCTGACACATGGCATATCCTCCGCCTGGCCCTTTTCCAAGTGGTTTTCAGATGTTAAATCATGTAATCCTCACAACCACCTGTGTGTGAGGTGGGTGTTAGTATTAACCCCGTCTTACAGCCGAGGAAACCTTTGAACTTGCCAGGTGAGGCGTGACCTTGGGATCAGAGAATGGAAGACCCTGAGTTGCTCTACTCGGTAGGAGGCTGGACCCCGTGGCCCAGACGGCTCCCATGTGAGGTGGGGAGGCGTGTGTGAAGAGAGCCTCACCCAGGCGATCACCTTGCCCTGTCCCTTAGGATTCTGTGACCTCCATCGTTCCTCTTTGCTTCCATTGCTGCTAAGCCTAGGGTTCAGGTCCTTATTACTTCTCCCCTCGGTTATATAAATAGTCTCCTTGTGGATTGTTCTCTCTATTTTCTCTCAGTCTCCCCAAAGCACTACAACCATCTTGTCACTCCTTCAGTGGCTTCTCCCTTCTTAATAAAATTTGAAATCCTTAGTCGAATAGTGAAGGCTTTCCTTGAGCAGGTCTCTGCATATCTGTACAGCCGTATCTACAACTGCACCTCTTTACACATCGAAAAACCAGATTTGTGAAACCCAGTGCTGGTCAGTAGTGAGGGTGGTAAAAAAATATATTTTGTTCAGTACTATTGCAATAGAGGAAAAGAGACCTCTGTATAGAACTGGGCTCATGTCCGAATACAGCTGGTCAAGGGATTTACAGCCGAGGGGCAAGGTAGGGGTCAGTGGATGGAAAATTTCTAAGAGAAAAGAAAAACATCAGGGTAAGAAGGATTTTGGTTAAACTGACCTAACAGGATTCTTGCTGAAGAAAGGCCGGGGTGAGCAGATCCCCCCCTGAGGTGACGGTGGAGGATGAGGGACTGTTGGTAAACTGACTTCTCAGGGTTCTTGCTAAACCTAGATTTATGAGGAAACGCACAGAAGGGCCTAGGAGAAGGTTCAGGATCCTGAGTTTGGTTTGGTCAAGCAAAGAAGCTTTGTCCCATCAAATAGGAAGATGATAACAGGGCCCGTCCACACCTTAGGTTCATGCCCACAAGTTTGTTCACTCGTGGTGTTCCCACATCCTGCTGGGGCTCCCCACATTCAATCAATAAAAATCAGAGTTCAAAAGGGCCTTAGAAACCATCTTCAACCTCCTGCTCGGTGCAGAAGTTCAGCGGTAGCCCTGACTGATGACCATCCATTCTCTCCTGCACTGTCTTCAGGATGAGAGGCACCTTGTTGTACCCAGTAGAAAAGCAGGAGGTTCCCCTGTTGAATGTTCTCACTGCTAGAAGTTCATCTGAGCTGAAATCTGCCTCCTTAAGTTTCTGCCTCCCATGGTTAGCTTCTGGTTTTGCCTCTCATCTGTGAAATGAGAAAGATGGGCAAGATTTCCAAGGACATTATCTGTCATAAAAGCAGTTTCAGGGTGCCTGGGGTGGCTCAGTTGGTTAAGCGACTGCCTTCGGCTCAGGTCATGATTCTGGAGTCCCGGGATCGAGTCCCACATGGGGCTCCCTGCTCGGCGGGGAGTCTGCTTCTCCCTCTGACCCTCTTCCCTCTCGTGCTCTCTATCTCTCATTCTCTCTCTCTCAAATAAATAAATAAAATCTAAAAAATAAAAAAAAAATAAAAGTTTCATTCCCAGTGCCCCTCACCCATTCTGAGTCCTGTCTGTTCTTGAGATCCAGCTCTATTCTGAGAACGCATATTATGTGATAAATTTCCAAGTAAGGGAGAACCCTGGTTTTACCTGAACATGTCAGCTGAGAGGAGTAGGAACCACGGAGTGGTGGTGGAGAAGAAAATCTTCAATATTTTTTAAAAATAAATTGTTTATGGAGTTTAAATTTTGTAATCTCCTTCAAAGAAAAAAATAAAGGAAAGCCCAGTCAGGTGTATTATTTTAAATATGCCAGTAATGAAGAACTGAAGATTTTAAAATGAGTACAGAATTACGTGGACTAGGGGCACCTGGCTGGCTCAGTTGGTAGAGCATGTGACTCTTGATCTCGGGGTCATAGGTTCGAGCCCCACCCTGGGTGTAGAGCTTACTTTAAAAAAAAAATTACATGGACTATTTTTTTTTAATATTTTATTTATTTATTTGAGAGAGAGAGAATGAGAGAGAGCACGAGAGGGAAGAGGGTCAGAGGGAGAAGCAGACTCCCTGCCGAGCAGGGAGCCCGATGCGGGACTCGATCCCGGGACTCCAGGATCATGACCTGAGCCGAAGGCAGTCGCTTAACCAACTGAGCCACCCAGGCGCCCTACATGGACTATTTTTTACATAAAGATAAATCTGGTCACCAGAGTGGTTTCCTCTCCACAAGCATATTTTTCTTTGTGTATTTCCTACTTTGGTTGCTGACATCTTTCACTTCCCAGTCAACCAAGCCAGAAACCTGGGGATTGTTCTGGATGCGTTGTTGCTCTGCATCTACCCACGCCCCCACCTCCACTTGTCAGGTAATATCCAGCCCATCCTGTGTTTGCACACCCTTGACTCCCACATTGGCCTGGGCTCTCCTTAACTCGTTCTAGGACTCTGGCCCCAGCCTTACAGAAGTCTCTTTGCTTCCAAAGCCTTGCTCCTCAATCCATTCTTCATACCTCTGCATGAGCTCTCTAAAATGCCAAGTGTGTGACACCATCACCCAGACCTTCCAGTGGCCCCTCTCATTCCTTAGGCCAGTGACCAAAATTTTTTTTTAAAGATTTTATTTATTTATTTGAGAGAGAATGAGAGAGAGAGAGCATGAGAGGGGGGAGGGTCAGAGGGAGAAGCAGACTCCCCGCCAAGCAGGGAGTCCGATGCGGGACTCGATCCCAGGACTCCAGGATCATGACCTGAGCCAAAGGCAGTCGATTAACCAACTGAGCCACCCAGGCGCCCCAGTGACCAAATTCTTTATGGAGAAGCAGACTTCTCATTATCTAGTCCTGCCTCCTAGCACACTTGTTTGTTTGTTTGTTTTATAGATCTTATTTATTTGACAGAGTACAAGGAGGGGGAGTGGCAGGCAGAGGGAGACGGAGAAGCAGGCTCTCTGCTGAGCAGGGAGCCCGATGTGGGGCTTGATCCCAGGACCCCGGGATCATGACCTGAGCCGAAGGCAGACTCTTTTTTTTTTTTTTTTTTTTTTT